CTGAACCGGCTCTGCTGAGGCAGCTGTGATGGGTTTTCTTGATCCCTTTCTCCCCTGCTCCAGCTGAAAGCCAGCTCCTTGTCAGGGCTGATGTCCTCGACATTAGGATGTGTCCGCAGGTGTCTGAGCGTCTCCCTTCCTAGGGAAGGACAGCCGTTGGGACATCTTTGAGCACTTGTGTTCCACCACAGCTCCCATGGGGTGGTGGCCCCTGGGGGGCAGCGGTCCCAGACCTAATGGTCTTGTGCAGCTTCTGGATGGAGACCGCTGCAGGCTGCATGTCTTGTGAGCACTGGCTCCTGCCAGTCTATTCTCGATGACCTCCCCCCTCGGGGGCACTGTCCTGTAGCTGGTTGCTGAGCACGTTTATGCTACTCTACCTGACCCCAGTCCCCAGGTGAGAAGACTGGGCAGTGCATGGTCACCCATGTGGTACCATGCTTCCCATCTGAACATTGTGCCCAGAGGAAAGGAAGCCCTCACAGAACCTGGAGGTCATGTGCTCCTTGCCCAGAAACCCAACTGCCAAGGCCCTTGTGCTGGTGTCTGTCCTGGGAAGCCACGTGGCCAGGATGTTTGGAAAGTGTGAGCAGGAGGACGGGCGGCTGAGCAAGCCTAATGGCTGACGTCACCTGCTATGTGCCCTCCATCTTGGACCCTTGGGTTCAGCCTCCTGGGTGCTCCTATTTAGCTGCCAGTTTCTAGGCAGCAGCTCTACTCTAGGGGCCTGTCTACACTGTGTCTGGATCCAGGGTCACCAAGGAGTTCACGGGCCAGTAGGAAGACCAGCCCTCACTGAGAAGTGGGCTGTGGCAACTGCAGAGGATCCCACTGGGGGGCCTGGCCTCCATCTGGCCTCTACCCCCAGCCCGCCTCCCCTCCCTGAATTTCTTCCTTCCCTGGGGAATGCTCTTCTGTGACGGGAAGTACCCACATGCCTGGGGTGCCAGACCCTGAGCCCAGCCTCCAGGCTTTTAGCCTTTGTGCACTGGGACAGGTGCACTCACCCCAAAGAGGTCCACAGCTTGCCACAGGTCACATGGGCCCCTGCCACTTCCCTGCCAGTTGGGCTCCTCTCCGCTCTTTCCTGGGTTCCAGCCCAGTCCTCCCAGGGCCTGCTTGGTCCCCTTGAGCTGGACACACAGCTGCCTGCCAGGCCCTGTACACATCCAGAGTCCAGCCATCTGCCCCATCCCGGGAAGCTCAGGGGCCACACCAGGTCCTATTAGGATCCCATAACCTCAGCTCTCTCTCTGCCATGGTGGCACAGGATCACAGCACCTGCCTTTGCAAATGCTCTCCCCTGGCTTCCCCTCATCTCTCCCGTGAGCCATTCTGCCTGTCCTGCCATCAGCTCTGAGGACCGGACCAGTTGTTGAAACTGACTTCTGCCCCCAGGCCCTCCCAGACTTCCGTGCCTCCTCAAGAAGCCCTTGTTCTCTGGTCAGTTCCCCTTTAGGGTGGGAACTGCTCGTTTGTCCTCTGGGCACAGTGCAGTCACTGGCTCTCTCTCCAGCCTCATGAGTGCTGGGGACCTCCGGGGGTGACTCGGGGCTGGGGCGCCATCGGACTGGTTGAGGGTTCAGTGCAGCACTGCTGCCCCTGCTCCCACTGAGGCCAGACCCTGGAGGGACCAAGGTTGGTGGGAGTGGCCTGGGGGCCGCCTCCAGTAAGAGCAGGCAGGGTCAGAAACGGAGAGGTGGGCCGAGGTGGGGGAGAAGGGGGCGTCTCATCACCACCAAGCTCTTGACCATCTGTTCCTCCAGCGCGCCCCTGTGCCCAATAGGCGCTGACCCCATGGGGCTTCTCCCTCTGGGATGGGGAGGCCCCTGCGTCCCGGCGTCCGCCCTCGCACCTCGCCCCGCCCAGCCGCAGATATAAGGCGCCGGTGCTGCTGTTTCGCGCCCCGCCGCCCGCCGCCGCCGCCGCCCGCGTCCCCATGGCCGGGCTCGCGATGCTGGTGGCCGCCGCCTTGGCGCTGTGCCTGCTGCTGGCGCCCCCCGGCCTCGCGTGGTACAAGGAGGCGGCGGGGCCGGGCTACTACTCCGTGGGTCGCGCCGCGGGGCTGTTGTCCGGCTTCCGCAGGTCGCCGTACGCGCGGCGCTCCGAGCCGCCCGTGGGCACGGGACCCCCGGGACGGGCTGGCGCCTTTCCCGGAGCTGCGCCCCAGCCTGCGGAGCCTCGTGAGTACCGGGCGCTGGAGGGGTGCGGACGCCCCCTCATCCTCCCCCCGCCCCCAGGCCGTGTGCGTCGAGGACGTTACCCGGAACCTGCAGAGCTGCGAGCGGTTCCCCGACGGCCGAGCCATGTTCCAGTGCAAGGCCGACGTCTTCCTGTCACTCCGCGCCGCGGACTATCGCAGCACGTGAACCCCGATCCCGGAACGTGGACCTGGCCTGGCTCCCGCGGGCACACCCTGGGGCCCGCCCTTGCCCTGGCGCCAGACGGCACGCAGTACCGCCCACCCATCCCCATCGTAAATGGCTTAATGAATAAATGAGACTCGCAGCCTCTGGGGGGTGGGGGGTGGCCCAGCAGACGGAGTGGGCAAGTACCTGTGAATCTCCAAACCGGACTCTGGCCACCTAGGAGCACAGACAGCAACTAAGGCCCTCAGGCCAACAGGCTTCACGGAAACACCTGCACAGGAGCTCCCAAACCCCACTGCTGGCAAAATGCTGCTGGGCCTCCAGCTGTATCGGCCCCAGACATCTTCTGGAGCCCCACATCTGTCTCTGCAAGGCTGCTCTCCATGTCCCCCACCTCCAGCCCCTGCCCGACACCTCCCTGCCTTTGTCCACGCGGCTCCTGGATCCTCCTAGGAGGTGGTGCCTGGGTCGCCCACTAGCCATCAAGTCTTATTAGGCCAGCTCAAACGTCCTGCCTTATAAAAGCTTCCCCTGAACACTGCACACCGGGAGGCCCTCCTGCCTCAAATCCTAAGTTTCTTGAGACCAAAGATCTCCCTTACCAGAGGGGCAGCTCTGGGGTCACTCTTCTTGGAGTCCCCCAAAATTCCTCAAAGTACACAGCACAGGACAATACTTGTGCCAAGTGAATTAATGAATAGGCTGGGCCCAGCAGGAGTGGGAAAGCAGCCAGATGTGCAGCTCCAGGACCAGGAGGAGCTGCACCAGGGGGATGACAAAGCTGGGCGCCACCCCAGCTGAGTCCTGAACCTGACGTCAGGCAGCTGGCTCCTCCCAGGCCTGGGAACTCTGTTCAGCCCTCCCTAGACCCACAGGGAAGCAGATATCCCCAAAGCAATGGGTGCTGCCCCAGCTTGAAGAGGGAGGGGATGTGTAGGGCCAAAGCTCCTGAGCACAGCTGCCTTGTGCCAGCCTCCCCCCACCTCACATTCAGGCTAATTCCCTAATTCACTTGTGGGGATCTTAGCAGGTTGATTTGCCCTCCCCACCCCCAATGAAGTTGACTTGAGTCCTTGGCCTGAGCCCTGGTCCCAGAGGTCTGCAGCCTGTCTCAGTGGTGTCCCCCACCCCCATGGGGCCTTGCCAGCTGGGCCTCAGGGGGCCCAAGGGAGCTGGACCTACCGGCCCTCCACTTAGGCTGGGGATGGGACCTGCAATCCTGCTGCACCTGGGTGGACCAGTCTCTGGAGGAGCCCACCTCCTGGACCTCCAGGCCCTGAGTCTCCTCCAACCGTGGCTCACCTGGGGCTTCCTGACTGCTGCTGCGGACTGTTCCCCAGTCCTCACCTTGCGGTGCCACCCAGCAGGGGGTTCTCAGCAGGCCTAGGGATGACTCATCTCAAGAGGAACCCTCCGGCCTCTCCTGTGTCCCACCCTCACATCAGAGTCTACAGGGGACTGGCTGATCCCTGCCGCCCAGGGATCTGAGCGTGGGAAAGTCTGGCATCACCGGGCTCCTGAAATTGGGGGCCCAGGTGGGGTGGGGGTGCAGGGAGGGCCCTGTGCCTCTCACAGCTTAGTGAGCTCCCCCCACTCGAGGAGGGAACAAAGGAAGCAGGGCAGCTGCCCTGCCAGGGTGTGTGCACCATAGTCCCCCACTGAAGCTTCCTGCACAGGTTCTAGGCTGGACCTTAAGGACCAAAAGAAAGGACAGGCCCACCTTCCAGAAGGAGTGAACGCTGGCCAGGGGCTCCCATGGGGCCGGGCCACAGGGTACTCCAGCCCCATCTGGCTCAGCATCGCAGGGCAGAGGCCATTCTGGAGGAAACTGGCAGAGGACTGAGAAAACATCACAGACCTCGCTCTTGAACACCACAGAGCCATAAACCACTGCCACTGTTCCCCCCCCCCAACCCCATCAAGAGGTGACCGGGGTCAGCACCCTGCAGCCACTGCACTACTACAAGTGTACCCTGACTTGGGTGCAGAAGACCCTGAGATTCTGTGGATTGGGCCAGGGAGCAGCCCCTAATTCCTTTCTGGATCAGGTAGCTCTATGTGGGTCGTGGGGTGTCAGCCTCTCATTTTCCCCATGACAGACCCTGGGGCCAAAGGTACTCTGTTGGTCCTTGCCTCCCTCCCCTCTTTTTTTGTTGCCTGCCACATGGGAGGCAGCTGGAGGTGTCTGGGGGCCCAGATCTGGGGGGTTCCTTGCTGCCGTCATGCTGCCTGCTGGCCCCCTCCTTGCTGGGTGGGCAGCGGGGAGCAGGGCCAAGGTGGTGGGTTTCCTGGTCCTGCCCTGCAGGGTTGAGAGCCTGAGGCAGAGCACCTCCCAGCAGGTTTATTCGGTTGCACACTAGCTGGTCAGGTACAAAACCGAGAACAGTCTGTGGGGAGGCTGGCCCGGGAAGCAGGGGGCGCAGCATCCGGGCGACAGGCCCCGGGGCACCAGGGACACACTGCAGGGCAGAGGCCGCTCACGTGGGAGATGGCATGGTCTGCACTCTGAGGAGGAAAGGGGGCGGGCCCCTGGGTCACTGCTCCCTGAAGCTGGCTCCCACGGAGGCCGGGCGGGCAGGAAGGCCACCGCCTTGAGCTGGGCAGTGGGGGTCATCCAGGGTCTGCAGGAGATTCCTGGGGGCAGAATAGAGAGCAGCAGCGGAGCCGGAAGGATGGAAACTGGGCCTTTCCGGGCATGCAGGGTGGCACCCCTCTGTTGAAGGTGCCCCCTGCTCATCCTGCCTGTCGGGCTGCTCCACTGTGCTGGATCCCCTCACTGTGCAGCTCGGCAGGAAGGGCAGGAGGGCCTGCTGCAAGACGGACACCTCACGGGCAGGGTGAAAGGCAGTGTCCTCCACACCAGCCCTTCCATGGCCAGGTGGTTGGAAAGGAGGGCACCGCAGCTTTGTTAAAAACCGAGCCAAGCTCTCGAGGCAGGGCTGGGACAGGGCCAGCACTTGGAGGACCTTTGGCGACCTCTCCCCTCTGGTCAGAAGTCACAGTCGCTCTCCCTCTCGGGCCGCGCCTCCTGCTGCCTCATGGCCTCCAGGAAGGCCAGCTCCTTGGCCTCCTTCTTCTGGTTCCGGGCCTCGTACTCCAGCCTGGGGGCCAGGTGGGGGTGAGTGGTACACCCATACCCAAGCCTCAGCGGCTTCCCATGCCTGCAGCAGCCTGGCTGAGACTCACCTGTTCTTGATGATGCGCTGGACAATGAGATCCGTGGTGAGGTCATTCCCACTGTCGATCTGACAGAAAATACCCCTTCTTTTGGGCTCCTGGAGGCCGGGAGGAGGAGGAGGTGAGAGCCCTCCTTTGGACCCCAAGAAGACTGCCCTGCTGCCCTGGCTCAGAGAGTTCCCACCCCACTATGGTGGGGGCAGTTATTCCCACCCGTTAGCAACCTGCCTCCTTAAGCCGTGAGGCCATCAGCGTGGCAGCTGTCACCCCGCCCATTTCCCAGACAGGCATGATGAGGTACGGGGGCGTTAGGTGGCTGGGAAGCATCAGACAGTGGCCACCTCATGTCTGTCGAGGGCCCAGCATGACCCACCTCATACGGGTCGGAGCCATCCTTGTCAGGCACGATTTCCGTCTTCCCATGACACACCAGGTCCACCTGGGGAGGAGGCGGGGGTCAGCGCGCCCACCCAGCATCTCCCCCCATGGTCCCCTGCCCGCAGAAGGCCCTCTCCAGGGAAGCAGCCTGGGCTCAGAGAGCTGGCCTGGCGCCACTCAGTCAAGACCCTCCCTGGAAGCCGCCTGCCAGGAGCCCCGTCCTCACCTTGAAGTGATCCAGGAGCTCTGCTGTGACCGAGTACGGGGCCCCAATCACCACTTCGGACACATACTGGGCGGAAAGGGAGCACAGCTGGTTAGATGGGCCTCACCAGGCTGCGGGGTAGGAGCTGAGAGGCAGCCTGGTGAAGCCGCAGACTCCTGTACCCCAGGGAGGGCCCTGTGGAGAAGCAGCCCCAGCCTGGGAAGGAGGCGCCACTGGGCCTGCCACCTGCCCGCCTGCACTCACCCTGCAGGCCAGCACGCTCAGGGTCCGCTCATGCAGGTTCATGATGGGGTAGTTCTTCCCCTTGTAGTGGTTGACCTCCTAGAGCCAGAACAAGGTTGGGTCAGCTGGTGACCTCAGGGGTGGGCTGGGGTGGGAGTGAGGCCGTGCTCCCTCCCAACAATCCCTCGTGGGGCGTCTGCCAGTGTGGGGAAGCCCTGGATGGGAGGCTCTCCCTGGGCTTCTCCCTGGAAATAGGCCCAAGCTTGCCACCTCTGCCTCGCCTGTGCCCAACCCCAACCCTAGGAGCCCCTCCAGAGCCCCCACGCTACCGGCTGCCCGGGGTGAGACCTGGTCAAAGTGCAAGCCGGCGATGACGTAGGGCCTCTCCGCCAGGCCATGTACCTTCTCCAGGAAGTCCACGTGCCCGATGTCTGCGCCCAGGTCAAGGACTGAGGAACCAACGAGGAGCGGCCGCCCACAGAAGCCAGGGCTCAGACAGGTGCCTTCCCACCCACCTGCTCATGCCTCTCCATGTTGATAGTGGTGCCCCTGCACCCCACCGCAATCCTGGGCCTTCGAGAGTCAGGGAGGCCCCTCTAGCCCCCACAGCCCACTGGGGAAGATGTGGAAATGCACAGAAAAGGCCTGGGGCAGGGACAACCCCCCACCCAGTCCCAGAGGATACGAAACAGGTCAAAAGCACCAGCCACGTAAATGACCGTCTCCCCTGGCTGGGGCTCCTTCCCCGAAGCAAACTGGATGATCTTCTGGGATGTCTGTAAAAACTGGGACACCCCCGTCCAAGGGTTCCGCCCCCCAGGACACTGTAAGCCGAGAACAACCTGGTCAGCGACAGAGGCCTCGCAGGCATGTCCCTTGCCTGTGCCCATCCTTGGGCCTGCCCGCATCCGCCTGTCAGTCTGCTCTGGGCGGCACAGGTGTGAGATGGCAGGGGCAGGCATGGGGGCTATAGGCCGGGACTCCAAACCCCTAGCCA